CCTCTTGTGTTGTTGGAAAAGAGTGTTTGTGATGACCAGTGTGTTCTCTTGACAAAACTCTATTAGCCTTTGCCCTGCTTTGTTTTTAACTCCAAGGCCAAACCTACCTGTAGTTCTTTTATCTTTTGACTCCATACGTTAGCATTCCAATCCCCTATACAGTGGTTTTTGCAATCACTATTGTGCGAAAAGTCTCTTGTGAGACTTTTTTTCTCTGACCATGCTTCACAAGACTTTTTTTTAATACCAATGCTTCGCAAGACTGGGAGGGGGGGTTAGACCGATGCTTCGCAAGACTTTTTTTGAGACCGATGCATAGGGAACCTCACAAGACAATGATTTTTGCGGAACAAATTAAAATCATCTTGCGAGGCACCACTTTAATGAAAAGAACATCTTTCTTTGGTGTGAGTTCTAGAAGGTGTTGTAAGTCTTCCTAGAATTGGTCAGTTTCAGCCTCTTCAGCATCGGTGGTTGGTGCATAAACATGGATTACTGTGATGTTGAAAGGTCTGCCTTGGATTCGTATTGAAATCATTGTCATTTTTCAAATTATATTCCAGTATAGCTTTTCCCACTCTTTTGTTGACTATGAGGGCTACTCTGTTTCTTCTTCGGGATTCCTGCCCACAATAATAGATATGATAATCATCTGAATTGAATTCGCCCATTCCCGTCCATTTTAGTTCAATGTCAATGTTTATTCTTGCCATCTCCTGTTTGACCACATCCAGCTTACCAAAGTTCATAGATCTTACATTCTAGGTTCCTGTGCAGTATTTTACTCTGCAGCATCGGACTTTCCTTTCACTTCCAGGCACGTCCACAGCTGAGTGTCTTTTCAGCTTTGACCTAACCACCTTATTAGCACTGGAGCTACTTGTACTTGTCCTTCACTCTTCTTCTTCAGTGGCATGTTGGACGCCTTCCGACCTGAGGGGCTCATCTTCCAACATCATATATTTTAGCCTTTTCTTTCTGTCCTTGGAGTTTTCTTGACAAAGATAATGGAGTGACTTGCCAGTTCCTGCTTCAGGTGGATTGCGTTTAGTCTGAACTCTCCACTATGACCTGTCTGTCTTGGGTGTCTTTGCATGGCATAGCCCATAGCTTCTCTGAATTATTCAAGCCCCTTTGCTACAACAAGGCATGAATTCATGAAGGGGATTCATTCTACCTCCTTTCTAATCCTTTTCATTTAGTGAAAAGTTTTATCTTTTAAAAAAGCCATCCCTTTAAATTTTATATTTTCCCTCTCTATGGAAAGACCTGAAAGAACATTGCCAGTTTACACCTCTTCCTCATCTGTTTCCTTTTTACTTTCTTTCCTCCCTGGATTTATAACTCCTCTAAAATGTGCTTTTCATTATACAGTGGTGCCTTGCTTAACGATGTTAATTGGTTCCAAAAAACCCATTGCTATGGGAAACATCGTTAAGTGAAACACCATTTCCCATAGGAATGCATTGAAAACCGGTTAATCCATTCCAATGAGAACGGATTAACGTCCTTAAGCGAAAATCCCCATAGGAAACATCACTAAGTGAAACAATGTTTCCCCAACGGAAAGCCAGTGTCTTACAATGTTTGGAACATGTTTTAAATGGTTGGAATAGTTAGTCCACCTTGTGAAACCTATGCACACTTAGTTTGGCTTTCTTCTGAGTCTTCGTTAATTTTTGGTGATTTTTTGTTTTTTCCCTCAT